ATAGAAAGCCCACCTTGTAATTGTCTTTAAATGCTTTTGGAGGTTCAAGTCTGAATCCAGCACTACACCTAGACCACCTGATCAGTGGTTACTAGCTGAAGCGACTGAAGCTGTGTGCTAACTGTAGATCTCTCCTCTATTGGTCCAAAGATTATTACTTCAGTTTTGTTTTTATTATTTTATGCAATCAGCTGACAGGCAAGGTACAGTAACAGGTGGGGGAGGGGTTACCCCACTCTAGGCTACAAACAGAATGAAATAAAATGACTTTAGAGCAGTCATCCCCAAAGTTTGACCTCAAGGGCCGCCGTCCTGCAGGTTTTAGATGTTTCTCTGCTTTAGCACAGCTGATTCTGATGATTGCAGTTCAGCAAAAGTCTGTTAATCAACTATCAATGTCAATCAGCTGTACTGGAGCAGGAAACCTCTAAAACCTGCAGGACAGCGGCCCTCAAGGACCGACTTTAGGGATGCCTGCTTTAGACCATAGAAATGGTAAAAACAAAATATTTTACTACTTCATTAAAACCTTAATATTCAATTACGATACTACTGATGGATGAATGGATCTATTCATCCATCAACCTGTGACTTGACTGGTTGATGTTCAGCAGCAACATTGACAGCAACTTAGGTCAAAGAGAAATTTCTAAATTCCACATCAGATGTGGATGAAACTTTATGAGCCACATCTGGAAGGTGTTCTGCTGTCATTATGAAATAAACCTTCACTAAAAATGCATAGTCTGGCAGCGATATTTATGGTACCTTAGTTTGAAGTGAATGAGTGGAGAGATTTTTAGGGGCCGTAATTTTGAAATTCCACATCCATAAAGTTCAGTCACATCTGAAGATGTTCATCTATCATTCTGGAATTAAAGCATTTACTGAAAACAGTTTAGCAACAAAACTGAATGCAGCACAATCAGAGATAACCTGCAGGGTTTAAGGGGCTTTAATTTTGAAATTCCACGGGATTTATTTGCGCTTTGATTGTTGGAGGGCCTCGTCTGTCACCTGGAAAAGTAACCATGTAAAAAAAAAAATCTAAAAGCAATAAATTAAATTTAATAAGAGTTAATTAAATGTATATTTCAAGATATTCACTGTCAGAACACTACAAAAATGGCACAAAGGTCAATTAATTAACGTATGTAATCAAATAACTGCTGTTATTTCCACATCTAATCTCTACGGAAGAGGATTAGGGCCACTGAAAAAAAAGTTAACTGATTTTTTTTATTTTATTTCAGTTTATTATTGGAAAAAAGTCAAAATTCTGACTTTAATCTCAGAATTCTGACTTTAATCTCAAAATTCTGACTTTTTTCTCAGGATTCTGACTTTAATCTCAGAATTCTGACTTTAATCTCAAAATTCTGACTTTTTTTCTCAGAATTCTGACTTAAATCTCAAAATTCTGACTTTTTTTCTCAGAATTCTGACTTTAATCTCAAAATTCTGACTTTTTTTTCTCAGAATTCTGACTTTAATCTCAAAATTCTGACTTTTTTTTCTCAGAATTCTGACTTTAATCTCAAAATTCTGACTTTTTTTCTCAGAATTCTGACTTTAATCTCAAAATTCTGACTTTTTTATAGTCGGAATTCAGTCAGAATTCTTAGATTAAAGTCAGAATTCTGACTTTTTTCCAATACTAAACTGAAATAAAATTTCAAAATCCGTTAACTTTTTTTTTCCCCAGTGGCCCTAATCCTCTTCCTTAAATCTCAGGTGTCACTACCGTAATTCTTAGTATTCGCGCGACCTAAAAAAAACGCGCGTCTTGATTCCGAAGCGGAGGCCTGCTGTGAAATAAAAGTTTAACCAACGGGTGACAGGTTTTAGAGAACAAAGTGATCCGTCCATCGGATAAAGGCTAAAATAATAATAATTCGGTAGAAAATGAGTCCATACCTTCATCCTGTCCCTCTAATCGCTTCAGGTCCACCTCCACGGACCCCCCCACCTGTGTGTGCTGCCAGCCGCTCTCAGCGCGGCTGCAGGCCGCGGGAGAGCGGCTTCCCTCGGCCAGCAGTGGCGCTCCGGCCCGGTGTAACACACGGTGTTTGAGTGGGACAGCCACGGGCCGCCACCGTGAGCAGCTGGGGACAAGCAGTCTGCGGAGGACAGCAGCCATCCTCTCTGCTGGAAGCAGTGAGATCAAGCAGAGGAAAGCTGCTGTGGAGCAGCAGGAAAGTTCTTCCTGAATGAGGAGGGACTTAAACACACAGCAGCTGCAACAATGGAGAACTTTTTCACTCCATGCTGCTCCATTTCTCTTACATTTTATTTTATTTTTGATGACAAAATCTAATTATTTACGTTAGGTTATTGTTATTAAACAAAAAACGAGTAATAATAATAATAATATAAAAACAAAGTTTCATTTTTTCCCCCTGGCTACAGCTGCAAAGTACTAAAGAACAAGTCAGATGTTTTGCAGGATGTTTTATAGATTCTGCAGAGTGACACATGCTGCTGCAGTCAGTCTATTTTAGGTTGACACCCTGCAAAGCAACCAACAGCCTGCAGAGGTCACCTGCTATTAAACGGTGCTTCATAAAGGCCTCAGAACAGGCACGTCCACAGCACTGACCTCTATTTATTCACGGGATTGCTGATTGGCTGATAAAAGTGAAGCCATGGTCCGCCATGCTGGTACTCCCCTCTCCCACAGACACCCACAGTCAAAGTGTCTACATGTGCAGCATTTGGCTGCAAAAACAAGCAGTATTCTGGCTGTGGGAAGATGTTCCACAGTCAGTGGATGAACTAACCTAGAAAATCTATATATAAGCTGATCCATCCTATAGTATAGTAAGTAGCATAACATTATTCTGGCTATCTCAGACTGACTCAGATTTATTGACTAAATTAGCCAGTATCATTGTGTCTAATGTAGGAAAATAGAAAGTAGAGTAAATAGAAAGTAATTCGTCATTAAGCAGATGACGTAGTGCTTTTTGTAGTGTTTGTTGTATTTCTCATTTTAAAAAATGCTGTGTTAAAATATATTGCATGTTATACTGACAGAAAAAAAGCAACTCAAACATTTGACAGAGAGAGAGAGAGAATTACCAGACATCTAAGTTTTTATTTACCATAACAATGTAATACATTAATGTACATTACATTTACATCATCAATTTGGCACTATTTGCACATCTGTATTATTATGCTCCAATAACATAAATTTTATTGTGATTGATTTGTATAATATATTAAATTACATGATTTAGAGACCTCATTGGCCTTAAAATGGTCAGGACTCCTGTTTTGTGTCTGTGTTTTCTGTGTTCGTCTCCCTTCCTCCACCAGGAGGCGCCTGGTTCTGGTCCGCCTTCTCACACACCTGCTGATGGTTTCCTCGTTAAACGGAGTGTTCTTAAGCTGCTGACTGCCACTACTTCGGCGCCAGAGTGTTTGCCAGTTTAGGGTACTCTAGCCAAGCATTTAACTTTTTGTCTTTGCCTCTTGGCAGGAAGTTGTCCTGCTAACTGGATCTCGCGGACCTTCACACCCTGGAAGGATAAACTGAGCTTCAAACTGAGCTGGGGTTCAAACAGGAGGTTCGGATCCACTTTCCCCAAGAGATAGTTTGAGCTTCTCACTGAGAAAGGGATTATTCTCCACAACGACCCGTTCAAGTCCCGCAGGAAATCTGAGTGGCAGTCAGTATCTCCGTTCTACATCTATCAACCGCATTCTGGGTAAACCTGTTCCGCCCTCCACCGAATCAGACAAACACGGGAACCACAGCACACAGACAGGAATCAAGGAAACAACTTCACTGGAAACTTCCGGTTGGGCAATGTTCAGAGCAACACTTCTTCCCCTGTTCACTTCTTCAATAAAAACCTGTTAAAACTTTTACCTGGACTCTCAGTTCGGTTTTCTGCATTTTGGGTCAGAACTTTGAAACATCATGACAAAAATGACTATGCAATTAGAAGTTAAAGTAATCTAGTGATGCTATGAAACAGCCAGTGTGTGCCAAAGTGATGAATTTATCTTTATTTTAAGTCTTAAGTTCCCCTTAAAATGAGAACATCATCATTGTTCGACGCTGTAGCTCACATATTGTTTACATTGCGACCGGTCTAACTAGTGAGTACCAATATGGCGGCCGATGGCTTCACTTCATCCTCATACTACCAACAGGCAATCAGCAATCCAGTGAATAGATAGAGATCAGTGGTCCAGAGTCAGTCCTTGAGGACATAAGGAACAATCAGATCTCTGATATCAGATGGAGCTTGGCCATTTAAGGCTTTATATGTGAGAAGGAGGATTTTAAATTATATTCTTGATTTAACAGGAAGCCAATGAAGAGAAGCCAGGATAGGA